CAGCCAGCAGCTTCTCAGGGCTGCTTCACTCCAGACACTTTTTATCATAAGGATTCCTTACTCAGGAGCTCACTGAACTCACCTCTTTTCATCCTTCCATTTCTTCCAGTGGTCAGAAGGGAAGAGATGATTCTTCCCACTTTAAAGGTGAGACGTGGGGAGTCAGAATCCAGACCTTCTGAGAAAGTCTAACAGCCTTTCTCATAGTTGTTGCTGTCCTTTCCTCCCAGTGAAAGTTTTTGATAATCCTACCTTCCAAACCTTCTCAAGAATTAGAATCTTCAGGACAGTTATTTCAATGGGAGACATATTTGCCCTGAGGTAGATATTTGACAATGTTAAGAGACATTTTTAGTTGTCATAAGTGTGTGTGAAGGGGAAAGAACATAGTACTGTGGGTATTGCTACTGTCCTGGGCAGAGGCCAGGAATGCTGTTAAACATCCTGCGATCTCAGGACAGTTCTTTCCCACTCTCGCCTCTGCAAAAAATTATGCAGCTCAAAATGTCAGAAGCACTAAGGCCAAGAACCCTGCTTTAGGCTATAAAGTCTTAGAATGGTCACTGTGCCTAGATCTCTGCCTTCAGGCATGTGGTCTGCCCCTCAAACACTACTCCCTGGAGAAAATTTTCCAATGAAAAGATCCCTTGGTCTCCTAGAATCACATTACTGGGAACTGTTCCTCCTATTTCTAGCTAAATTGTGTTTCATCTGTTTAGCCATATTTTTAAAAAATAGAGAGCTGAGGAGCCTAAAGACTATAGCCTTTCATTTTTTGATCAATCAAGTTACTCTCCTGTTTGAGCTGGGTGCAGTGACATCCCTGCAACTTGGGAGGCTGAGGCAAGAGGATCACAAGTTCAAGGCCAGCCTGGGCAATTTAGAGCTTCTCAAAATTAAAAAGGGTTGGGGATGTAGCCTTGTGGTAAAGCACCCTTGGGTTCAATCCCCAGTGCCATTTAAAATAAAAAAGCTAGGGCTGGGGATGTGGCTCAAGTGGTAGCGCGCTCGCCTGGCATGTGCAAGGCTTGTGCAAGGTTTGATCATCAGCACCACATAAAAATAAAATAAAGATATTGTGTCTATCTAAAACTAAAAAATAAATATTAAAAAAAAAAAATAAAAAGCTACCATCCTGTTTGAGCAGAGACCCAGCTCCCTGGCTGCTGGCAACCTCTCTCACTGGCCACTTTTCTGTGTGTTTGTATGTGTTTGTCTCTCTCCATCCTCCAGGTCCCCAGGTCCTGACCTGGCCTTCCTGACTTCCTGTCCTGACAAGAACAAAGTCCATTTCAACCCGACTGGCTCAGCCTTCTGCCCTGTCAGCTTGATGAAGCCACTATTCCCTGGCATGGGCTTCATCTTCCGTAACTGCCCCTCAAGCCCGGGGTCTCCCCTTCCCCCTGCCAGCCCCAGGGCACCGACTCGGAAGGATCCAGAGGCCTCCAAGGCCTCCCCACTGCCATTCGAGCCATGGCAGCGCACCCCACCATCAGAAGAGTCTGTGCTTTTCCAGAGCTCCCTGGTGGTTTGAGGGGACCCCCCTCAACTTTACCATGGAGACCAGTGCCTTGGTGGCAGGCCCCTCTCTAGCTCCCCAAGCAGGGGGATGGAGGAGCCCTTCCCTCTCGGCCTTCGAGCACTTTCACTTATTGTGTCAAAGCCCCAGGTCCTCTTTCTGATGGACACCAGCCCCTCCAAATGTGAGGGGACTTGCCTTCTCCTTTAGCAGCTGGGCAGCTGACAACTCACACCTGTGTACCTGCCGCTTCCCTCACTCAGTGGAAACTCACCCAAGAAGGTCTTGAGTTTCCCACCCCAGGATGCAAGTCCAAATGACTTATAGGAGGCTCCTGTTGTGGTGGAGTAAGCTGGCTGTGATTGAAGGAGAGGGGAAGGCCAGACTCCCTTCCCTCTCCACCTCCAGAAACACGGAAGAGCAGCCCAGAAGGCAGACACCCCAGCTCCGTGCCTCCCTCTCTTTGGAGGAGCTGACCAAAGCGGCCCTAGAGGGCCACAACACTTGACCAATTCAGCTGCTGGCAGAGGGAGGAACCAAGTGTTTCCCAAGTGGCATTTTCATCTCACTTTCACCCTGACTAAAGATTGTCTTAAGCAGCAGCCCAGCCCCAGGTGGGTGGCAGGGGAGAGGGAGGGCTGGCATTCCTCCAGGTGGCAAGTGGTGACTCTACACCCTCCACCTGCCCCAGGGCTGGGCTGGATTAGAAAAATGCCTATTTTTCTTGTATCAATGTAGAAACTCTATTTTCTCCCAAAGACACTATTTTTGCAGCTGTTTGAAGTTTGTATATTTTCCGTACTGCAGAGCTTACACAAAATTGAAGAATGTTAATGTTCCAAGTTTTCTTATCTTGTGTTTAGAGATTTTTTTTTTTTTTCAGATCTTGGTGTTAATAGACCAAATAAATCAATAAGTATTCCCAGCAGCTTGAAGTTCTGTTTAAATACCTGTGATAGGAGGAGTGGGGCTGAGATACAGGGTACCATATTCATCACTTGGTCTTGTCTTCAAGAGAAGGAGCCCTTACTTAATATATAACTAGTGGGCTTGGGTGCTGTATGAATTCTTCCCAAGAATAACAACAACAACAACAACAAAAAAAAACAGGTCCAAGAAAAATCTTTCCAGAATGGTGTGTCCTGGAGGTGGGGTGCGGGAATCATTAGGGAAATTACCTGTTTCTCTATGAGTCTAAGCAGAATGGGTTTCAGAGAGGAAAGAAGGTGACCAAGGAAAGACAGTATGCCCTTGCACTGGCAAGGGGGACAAGACCAGGGAAGACTATTCAGGTGGACTCCCATGGCACAGTAAAGAAGGCTTTGCTCCCATTGGGTATTCTCAGTGAGTACCCCCCAGCACAGTGTGCAACCTTAGAGAATACAAAGAAACCGTCCTTGCCCTTTTGCAGTCTCTCGGTCCAGTGCTGCACCTGTAAGAGTTCTGAGGCTTTTGGTGAAAATTTGAATAATCACCAAACATTCTGACAGTGCTTTGGAATTCACAAAGCATTCTCACAAAGGACATCCCCACTGCATAGATGGAAAGTTGACAACCGGAAGGAGAGTCACAATAATGATATAAATAACTCTACCTATCTCAGGCCACTTGTAACTACCATTCATGGGCTTGGTAAAGCAGCAGATACCGTGTTAGGTGCTTCATATGAAATGCCATCAAAATATGACAACCACCCAAGGAGAGAAATGTAATAAGTCCCATTGTACTGATGTGGGAAGGTCAAAAAGATTGAATAACTTTTCCCAAAAGACAGACACATAGTGGGGGAGCTAGGATTGGAAACCTGATCATTTGAATACATTGTCCATGCTTCTAATGACAGTGCTCTCCTGCTTGTTATTATATTCCCATTAATTTTACATGAGGAAACTTGACTCAGAGGTCAGGTGAATTGTTTGAGGTCCCAGCTGGCAAAGAAGCAGAGCTAGAACTAGAACTCAGGTCTGGTCCCAGCTCCTGTTTGGTTCCCAGGAAGTGCCACCTGATTCAGTGGAGTAAGCTAAGAGGCAAGAGAGCAAAGGTGTGGGGGACCCCTGTCTCCCACCCATAAAAAGAGCTGGGGACAGACCCTGTATTCTATCTACTACTCCTCCCACTCCATGAAAGATATCTGGCTTGCCCCCAAAGCCTTAGTGAGTCAGGCCCCAGGCGATGGGTGTGGTGCTGCCCAGCGTTTCCTTCCTTTGCCTGAGGTGGTGCCAAAGGAATAAGCTGCTAGAGAGAAGCTCAGAGTCCAAGGGACCACCTGAGAATTGGGCCAGTTGTTAAGTGGAGGGTTGGGGGTGGCAGTGGAAAGACCTGGTGTCAGTCTTGCCCTGGCAATTCTGTTCAGCGGGTGGAGATCTAACCCTTGGATGCGGGGGGGGGGGGGGGGGGGGGG